CACAGTCGTGGCTTGAAGTGACCAATTTATTTTTTTACACATAACCCGGCAGTATCATAGTTGGTGTCGTTTAACATCCAGTCTTGCCCTAGGAGAATTATCTGGCGAAAAGTGGGGAAAAAATGATAGCACTATAATGAACTAACCCAAGATCTGTTTAGAATGCCTCTAAGTAGGACAGTGATGTGGACTTTAACACTTACGTTCACTTATTATTTGCTTTCTAAGTGCAAACTCATGACAGATAAGGTGATACTGGTAAGGGACTGTACCAATACAATTACGTTTATATAACACCTTTCATGTCTGGAGGAAGCCTCAAAGCTTCATACCTTCACAGAATAAAGTGTAAAGTGTAGTGACTACTTTGTCACTTTGAATGGATTACTCAAACGCACTCCTCGCCGGTCCCTCCAGCTCCACTATTCAAAAGATCCAGCTCATTCAGAACTCTGCTGCCCGCATACTGACCCGGACCAAATTCCGTATCCACCACCCTGCTTGGAGGACGCTATATAAGTGCAAGTTGTTATTGTAGGCAGAAACAGTGGCAAATGTGTGCACATCAATGTCCCACAAATAGCCATGAAGTGAATGACTAATTTTTTACGTTACAATTTTATTACAATGCAATTTACATTTTTATACTGCCATTTCTTGTTGGGAGAACATCTTAAAGCCCTCAAAGCCTACCATTGAATTAACTGGTATTCCTTTCCAAAATCTCTCCTCCATGCTCTCTCTCTCTCTCTCAAAACCCTCCCAAAACATATCTTTAGTCCATGTTTTTAGTCAACATCCTTAATTGTCCCACACTCTGTCTGTTCGGTGCTGCCTGTCTCATTTGTTAAGTGTTTTAAAATGCTGATTCTATGCGGAAAGCATTATATAAGTGAAAATTGTTGTGGTGATGGTGGTAAACAGATGCCAAAGTCCTCCTAAATTCTGAATGCTTGTGCTTTAACCTGGAACGTGTAAAAATTCCAGGGGTTCAGATTGAAAATGGTTTGGCCCTTTGCAATTCTCCCAGGAGTGAGCAAACCAGGGTACGTGAAGGTGCAAATGTTGAATGGGTTCAATGTAGCTGCAGTGTGTTTATTGTGGGATTTACATATCTGAATAGGTCAACATATTGTAGGATTGCGGCTGCATTTGGGAATACAATTGTCGGATTAAGGAGAAGTCGAACATGGGATTCAAATGATGTGGCACTGAGAAGCCTCTGATCAAAGGACAAAGCAAAGCAAATGGAGATGAATATTCTAAAAGTGAAATAAATTTTAAGATTTTGGCAATATCCCCTTGCCCTATGTAGCCTTTCAATAAAAGTTGCAGCCAGCTTGGCCTGCAGATTGCCAGATGAAATCTTGTCAGACGAAGCCCAAGAGTGTAATAAAATCAAATAGTTACTACTTAGATTCTGCTAGCAATAGTGTAGGATTTCCCTGCAGGCTGCTTCAGTGGCCTCAAGTGTACAATAATGCCTGAAGTAAATGCTTACTGCTTAGTCTGGCAGTTCTCAAAACAGGCTTCTGCTGGTGTTCCATTCAATGGCCGCTCCGTTTCACAGGCTGGGACATTTCCGTTTGAAATTTCAGTTTGATACCGGGTACGGTGACAAAGCCAAGACAACGTTTGCTGCAGAAACATGCATTTTGCCCCCTGCAGGTTGCTCCATTTTATTTGTTCTAACCATCAAAATAATAATATTCCTTACATTTGATGTAGCAACTTTCACATTGGGGATTTACCTCAAAATGCCTTACAGGATATAATAATAACAATACCTTGCATTTATCTAGCAGCCCTCACACAGTGTAGCATCCCAGAGCATTTCATAATAATATTATTATTATACTGTAAAGTGAAGTGACTGTATGTTGAAGGTGAATGCAGCAGTCCATTTGCCCACAGCAATGTCCCGCATACAGTCATGAAGTGAATAACTGATTTTATCTGGGAATTGTTGACCAGCACACAGGCAGAAACTCCCTTCTCTTTCAATAGTGCCATTAGATCTTTGGCATCCATCTGAACAGGGAGACTGGATCTCAGTTTACCATCTCATCCAAAGGTCAGGGCCTCTGACAAAGTCTTGAACTCATGAGATTCTCACTTCAGAGGCAACTGGGCTACCGACTGAGCCAGGCTGACACATACTGCAGTTCATTCAATAGAGTCCGAACTGCTGGACTCTTCACCTGGATTTGGTGTAATAGCATCACCCTGACACAAATAGTGATGACTGCTGGTAACTGGAACACTAACCTGCAGGGACACTGCTCCCATGCACCCGGATATAGAAGGCAGAGTCCCTGCAGATCAAGACGACCCACACTCGGCTATTGTCAGGAGTCACCAGATATCAGTAGAATCCGGGAAACACCCCTTTGGTGGTTGCTCAATCAGGGGTATATAATATAAGGCTGAGTTAAAATAAACACCCCTAAGTTTTACTTGGTGTGTGGATAGGTTCATTAATGAGAACCCTTCCCTTACTTGAGAGAAACATTATATAATACCCATTGTGTGTTAATTCACGTTTGGTACCACAGTAAGACAACCTATCTTAGGTGAACCCTATCATTAAGACATTATCTTGAGTTGGTAAATATCACAGCATTTATAAAGTTTTCCATCTGAATTAAAAAGGATTAAAGCAACAGATGCAGGGGAGAATGGAGCCCAGAGTTTAAAATAGTTTAATTATTTTTGTTGAACGACCACATTACTAGAATTTCCACTACCACCAGAACTTCAACACATCTCAAGCTATTAGCACTAGGAAGGTGATCTCAGCTATTAGATTCCACCTGGAACCCACTGTAATAATAATATGATATGGTGCTTTCTAAGTTGAGAGGACATCTCAAAGAGCTTCTCAAGAAGTTAGTGATTTATCTCAACAATAACTTGCATTTATATAGTGCTCCTCACACAGGATACTGTCCCAGAGCATTTAATAGTGGCAGAGCTTGACGCCGGGCTGGAGGAGGGAGAAGGTGACCGTAAGCACGGTTGAAGAGGAAGGTCTTCAGTCCTGATCTAAAAGAGGACATGAGTGGGATAGAGGGAGAGAGTTCCAAGGCTTCAGTTTGAATCTCTTAACTTTAAATCTCTTAAGGGCTACAAAGAGATAAACCTCACAGTTATACTGGAAACAGAGCAGAACCAACATTTTGAATTCAATTACATTAATTACAAAGGATTTTAATAAACAGTACATGAGCTGAGCTCTTAAAATTTGTGTTTTGTTTCTCGAGCTCTGCATCTGTATGGCCGGGAGCTATTGTTTGGCAGGATTCAGATGTGACGCTGTCTCTCCTGGGCCTTATAATGACCTTGTGATTTGCACTGACGGTGTCGATTTTCATGTAGATTTGTAATCTTACTGGCTGCAACAGACCTGAAAGTCTCAAAATTCTAGATAATGTTTTGTATATGAAACATAATTTATCTTGTCTGCAAATCTTTGACGGTGTTTCCATTCCGTCAGACAAAAGAAAATGGGAGCTGAGTCATTTTTTTTCCCTCCGCTTTGTTGGTTCATGCCAAAATGATGGTGTATTATGGAAAAAACATCCTCAGTGAAAAGGTATCGTTACACAGTTTGGCTGTCAGCTCCTATAGTTGAACATATTTTCAGTGTGTTACTTCTATATCCTGTCACTTACCTATAGGACTAGACGCAATCGAGTGTGAAGCTTCAAAAACAAGCATCGGCTACTTTCCTGGTTAATAGATATTTGTTTTCACAAAGTTTCCAACTCTTTGTTTTTCCTTTCCATTTTCACCACCCCTTCCCTCCACTCCCCTAACATTTTAAAATGACTTCCTCCACATCTTCTAAACCCTCTGAAATACGCTTCAATTCCCAGCCAAGGTGGCCCAGTCAGTCCCTGAGGCCCCAAATTCCACATGGTCCGAGCCGTGATATCATTGTTTCTTAAAATTTAAGATCGCTCAGTGTTGTGGAAAATTCTGAAATTCAGTCTTAATTTGGAAGTCGGTTTCACATAGTTCTTAAAACAATCGTCTTCAAATTAAAACTGAATACTTTGCCCAATTCTGTGTGATCTTAAATTTTCCACTGTTCTGCCAATCCTTATGACATGACATGACATGGTCCCATGCGCTAAGACCAGGGATAATTTTGAGACTTTGCTGGTTTATAGAGACACTCTGCAAGACTGCAACCATCTCCTAATGTGTTGAGACTCCATTTGATGATCCAATTTCCCCTTGTCTGTGGGGAAAGTCTCAATGCCACTTAGCAAACTACCCTACAGCCACAGGATCACAAGATTAGTTCAGATGAAGAAGACCCTCGGCCCATTTGATCTCATCCCTCCGGAACGCCCACCTTACTATGTTAACATCACAGCATCAAGCTGATTTTTAAATGAGTTCAGGGTCCTGACCTAAACACAGAATATCACAGAATTGGCAGAAGTCTGAAATTAAATATCTTTGAGGAAGTGAGGGGGCAAAAAAATTGTGGGAGCAAAATTGATAGAAAATAAATATGAAAGTTAAGAAATTTCAACCGTAATCTGAATCCTGATTCATAATAATAAGAATCCTTTCATTTCAAATAGTGCCTTATCACATTGTTGAGATGTCTCAAAGCACTTCACAGGAAATACTGTAAAATATTGTGTATATTGTGGGCGAAAACCGGCAGCCAATTGTCCACAGCAGTGTCCCACAAATATTAGTGGATTGAGTGACCAAATGATTTTTATTATTATTTTTTTTATCCCCAGAAAGCAATCTGTCAATCGACTAACAACTGGGTTTCTACTTGCTGCTAGGTAAACAGAGGCATGTGGAGTAAGGAAACTTGCCTTAGGTTTCGCTATGCCCGGGAGTCAAATCAGGGTTCTCTTGCTTGCGAGTGCTCTAACCAATACGCTACAGGACTCCACAATAGAAAATTTAAGAAATTGCAACCATAATCTGAAGCCTGATTTATCTCTGAATGTCTTTCTCTGTTTCAGTTGGTCTTCACATCGGCCGCTTCTGTGGGCAGGTGGTTCCTGAGAACATTCGGTCGCTGACAGGCATTCTGTCTTTAACATTGCATACGGACACTGCCATCGCCAGGGACGGCTTCTCGGCAAACTATTCCATTATCCAGAAGAATTTATCGGAAAGTGAGTAGAAATTGCTTTTCCTAGGCTCAGCGGGATACAGCGTAACCAGATTAGCTGGACTTTTTCATTCATGCTCTCGGAGCTGTTATTGGGTTAACAAGTCAAATAAAATTATGCAGAGGAGAGAATGTTGTGCTGTGAAAGCATTCACTCCACCCTTGTTCATCAACTGGTCTCAGTGGCCAAACTGAACAATGGGCTGACAAACGTGGTGGAAAGAAATTCTATACTTAATAATAATAATAATAATCCTTGCATTTGATATAGCGCCTTATCACGTCTTAGACATGCCTCAAAACGCTTCCCAGAATATACTATAAAGTTAATTGACTGTATTTCGTGGATGAAACGTAGCATCCAATTGCACACAGCAGTGTCCTACAAACATTCGTGGATTGAATGACCAAATTATTAGTTTTTTTTAGTAAATGTATGGAACAGGTTCCCTAGGGAGACGGTGGAAACAGAAAGTGTAGATTCTTTCAAAAGCAAATTAGGAAATAATATCTTGGGATACAGTATATAATTTGGGACATGACCTGTGCTTGCAACTGCCAAGATGGTGGATTGTGACCTGGATGGACTTTGGTCTAGCAAATTCTTACGTTTCTGTTATCTTAGCATTTCTCAGCATCCAGATATTGCCAGATTGTTGAATTCTATGTGTTAACTTTGAAGACGTTTTTCTATAGTTCTTAAAAGAATGTACAAACAAAACCTTCTACCAAGAGACCATCAACATGCACCCCACTCCTCTCCCCCCACCTAGCTGGATAGCGAATGAGGGCAGGATCTAGCTCAGCTGTAATATCTGGATTTTGTGGCTGGCGGAACAGGGTAGACGGGCAAGGAGGAAAAAGTATTGGAAACATTGAATACAACAGTTGGAGCAAGGAGGGCTCCACAGAACAGTCAGACTGGGCTGTTGATTTCTAGTCCTATCAACCCACCCCCCCCATCCTCATATCATATCACCATCCAACTGGAGTTGTGCTTCAGAGGGACTGTGTAGGAACCGCACTCCGTTCATGCCTTGATCTTATAGTGCTCCGCCTAGTGGTGAGACAGAAAATTGCCAGTAATCTTCCGGGGACGGGGGTAAATTGAGCTTGAATTTCAGATAAGAGAAACTGTCATTCAAGTCGAAAAAAAGGAGATGAACTTCAGACTCTTGACAGTGCGAATAATGGCTTTCATTGAATGTGGTGGTAGTGGTTGGGGGGGAGGGGAACCCACAATAAATTCATTGACCGTGTCGGCCAGGAAGGATCTGGTGGTTGCAAGCCAGGAGTGACAATTGTGGATTATGAAGTGACAGAAAACCCCCCTGAATGTTGTGTTAATGGCAGTATTTGATGTGCGATTCAAATTCACTTGACAATCCAGCAATTTGAAATTATGTATATAGCTTTGAATATAAGTTTAAATATATACCTGGGTCTCCACCATTCTCCACATTGTTAGACGGTTCATAATGCAGCACAAGGTAGAGGATTTTAATATCTCTTCTACTATTGTTGGTTGTAAGTTGAATCATTTGGCATTTCTCTGATAAGAAGAGTCAGTGGGGCGGGGTGCAGGGAGGTGAGAAGATTATTCCACTGTGAAAGCTAATAAACTTCCACTCATCTACTCTTCAACATCACAGGAAGCCATTTGAAAATAACTCACTCGGTGAATAGTGTTATTGCCTTATTTAAAGTGACATGACATTCTTCCTCCACACCTTTTAACCTATCTCACACTCCTCTCTCATCATCTCTGTAACCCGCATGAAACCAACCACCTGCTCCCGTGACCCCATCCCTGCCTGCTATTCTTCTTACCTCCCAGCTCCACCTCCTTGCCCCTCTACTCACAGACATCATAAACCTCTCCCTGTCCACTGGCACTGTTCCAACCCCATTCCCATGGCTGTCATCACTCCTATCCTTAAAAACCCTCCCTGGACACATCTCTACTCTCAAACTACTGCCCCATCTCCAACTTTCCTCTCCAAAGTCCTGGAACGAGTTGTTGCTTCCCAGCTTCGCTCCTTCCTTTCACGCTATTCCATTCACGAACCCCTCCAATCGGGTTTCTATGCTGCCCACAGCACAGAAACAGCCCCGGTCAAAGTGACAAATGACATTCTGTCCATCTGCGACCAGGGCTCCCTCTGTCTCCTCTCTGATGACCTCTCTGCTGCCTTCGAAACCGTCGACCACTCTATCCTCATCCACAGCCTCTTCTCTCGCCTCAACCTTCACAGCTCTGTCCTTGACTGGTTCAGATTGTAACTCTCACACCACCTCCATTTCATCTCCACAAACAGTTTCTCCTCTAGCCCCGCACCATCTTGTGCGGCGTTCCTCAGAGCTCCGTCCTTGTTCCCCTCCTCTTCAATGTTTATATGTTCCCTTTTGGTGACATCATATATGTGGATGGCACCCAAATGTACCTCTCAGCCTCCACTCTTGACTCCAGAACCACTGCTGTCGTGATAGAATATCTGTCAGACATCAAGTCCTGGATGAGAGCTAACTTTCTTCAGTTGAACGTCAACAAGACCGAGGCTCTCCTGATTGGCTCCTGTCAGCACCTCCACACCTCAGGCGCTGACAGCATCACTATCCATGGATGCACACTCCACCTTACTAAGCCAGTCCAGAACCTTGGCGTCTTGTTTGACCCTCAACTATCCTTTCTAGCCCACATCTGTGGCATGACCCACTCTGCCTTTCCCCACCTCTGCAATATCTCCCAGCAGCACTATCTCACACTGCAGGCCGCCAAAATCCTCATACATGCTTTCATTACATCAAGGCTTGACTATACAAACTCCTTGCTTGTTGGCCTCCCCAACTCCTCCCTCCATAGGCTATAGATCATACAGGACTCTGCAGTCCATGGCCTCATGCACCCCCATCCTCACTCGACTCCACTGGCTTCCCATCACACATAGAATACAGTTACAGATCCTGGTCCTCACCTTTAAAGCCCTCCATGGCCTTGCTTCACCCTACCTCTGCGACCTCCTACCCCCCTACCATCCTGCTCGCTCCCTCTGTTCAGCGGGCTCCGGCCTGCTTCACGTCTCACTCACCCCACTATTGGTGGGTGTGCCTTCTGCCACTCTGCCCCCACCCTCTGGAACTCCATCCCGCAGTCCCTCCGCTTCGCCCCCACACTTACCTCCTTCAAGACCCATCTCAAGACCCTCCTCTTCGACCGTACTTTAGATCACCCTGCTTCTCCCCCTGCCCTCCACCTTCCCCGATTCCTTACCCGCAGCTCGGGTCCCAAACTCTGACTGACCAGCGGCTTTGGACGTCCTCCCGACATGAAAGGCGCTATACAAATGTAATTTTGTTGTTGTTGTAATAATAATAATAAATAATAATTCTTACATTTGGTACAGAGCCTTTCACATCAGGAGGACATCCCTAAGTGCTTCACAGGATATACTGCAGAATGTAAAGACTGTGTTTTGTTGCCGATCGCAGTGGCCAATTTATGCACAGCTGTCCTACAAACGGCTATGAAATTGACGATTTTATTTCGAATTTAATTTGATTCAAAGGTTGAGTAAAAACATCTACATTATCCTTGGCATTATGTCATTGTGTGATTTTTTTGTACCCAAATTGTTCAGGCCAATTTTGCATCTCAGTGCCACAACAACAACCACTTGCATTTATATTGTGCCCCCTCACCCAGGGTAGCGTCTCAGAGTACTTAACAGTGGCAGAACATGATGCTAAGCCAGGGGAGGGGGAAGGTGACCATAAGCACAATTGAAGAGGAAGGTCTAGTAGGCTGGGGAGTAAGCAGGTAGTAGAGGTAAGGAGGTGCAGGGCATGAAAGGATTTGAAGAGGAGTGTGAGGATCTTGAAATCATCACCCCAACTGAGATCAACTAATGCAACACAGACGTGACTGACACGGACACCCCAGTTTTCATAAACCATCAGCCATAGAGATATGTAGCCGTTTTTGTGCTGTTATTATGATAGCAACAACGATGTTTTCTTTACCCTTTAGACACTCATTGCAACGAATCACTTGGTATGGAAACAGGAGCAATTCACTCGGATCAGATTTTGACTTCTAGCACTTACAATTTATACTGGGCCTCAGAAAGGGCAAGACTGAATTACCCAGAAAATGCCTGGACGCCAGCAGAGGATTCCAGCAAGGAATGGATACAGGTAAAACAACCATTACTGTTTGTCTTGTGGAAAATGTCCCAGACATCTGGCCAATAAATAATATTACTGATTACTAGTATTACACTCTTATCCAAATTCACTTCAAAACACCAAACATTAAATGTTGTCCTTCATCTTACTCTTGTGGGGTTTTTATGGGTGGGAATACTCATGGCATATGTCAGCTGCCCATTTGCCGATGTAACATGTCAATATACTTCAAATAAACCCATTTTGTGATTAGAGAATTTTCAACATAATATGGCGCTGTGTCAAACACAAGTGTTAATATTCATGCATTTCATATAACGCCTTATATCATTGAAACATCTCTAAACGTAAGGCTTGTGTGAAGTATAAACACCAGAACGGACCACTTTGGCTGAAACAAATAGAGCTGAACCTGGCAGTCATGAAACCAGAAGACATTTCTTTCCTCCCAGAGAGTTGTGGGATTGTGGAATTCGCTTCCTCAGAGGACTGTTAGTGCAGAGTCAGTAGGAATGGTTAAGAGGGAAGTGCTTCACAAGATGTACAGTAAAGTGACTGTGTATTCTGTACGTGAATTAAGACGTGGCAGGCACACACTGCCCACTACATGACGCTCTAAGGGGTTTAGGGTCATCAGCAGTTCAGTCGCAGAGATGTCCCTGGAGCAGCCTCCCCTCCCCCACAGCAGCCTATGAGTGGCAGAGCCTGTGATCCAGGCTGAGGCTTTGTTTATGTGCTGTACAAATGTGGCCGTGTGCCACAGTCAGCATGTTGCTGCTGAATCATGTCTGAGATTTCCTTCCAGATACACTGTGCTCGGGGATGGCTGTGTCTGGGAGCTGTTTGCAAAGGAATTGGTTGAACTCAGTGCGGTTAACACAACCAATTTGGTGCTTGAATTGCACCAAAACAGCTGATATAATACAAGGGTATAGACTTCCCATACTGCACTGTATGTGGTGGTAGGGGGCTGGGGAGTCGGGATTCTCGTTCACAGCTGCAAAAGAAAAAAGTATAGTCGCCTTTTTTTTCCGTGAAGGTTGAGGAAACAATAGCCCGACTGCCTTTCCATGTGATTAGCAGCCTGAAACAGTTGTGAATGTTAAAGAGAATACCAGAGGCCCAAGATTTCACATCATTTGAGCCTTATGACTTACTGTCGTAAAATTGAAAATTGTGCAGCATTTGGGAAAATTATTAAATACCGTGTTAATTTTGAAGCCGTTTTTCTTTGCCCGAACTGCAGAAAACCAGTTTCCCAAACTAAACTCAATTTGAGTTTTCCACAATTGTGTGATGCCTCATTTCGAGGGACCTTGCGATATTGCTGATATAAGCATCGCAGATGGTGTTAGATGGTACAGATGAAGAAGGTCCCAGTTTCAATGCCTGATCTCTATTGTACTTTTGTGCTGAGTTTGCTGATCTTCACCAAAATTTGAACATTACAATTGGCCTCAATGTACCTAGACAAGGGGAGCTGCGGGGAAAATATCAGCTTTGATTCCTGTGTTTATCGCCATCCATTGATCCCTGTTGATTAGTAAGTGTGAATGGTAGTTAGGTGAGGACAAGATTGGGCTTGGTTTTAATGCTTCCAATGGGCAAGTAATTCATTGGGATCGGATTAGTGACACCTGAAGAATAATGATAAATAATAATAAATAACAATTCTTGATTTAGCACCTTTCAGAATATATGTAATAATAATCCTTGCATTTGATATAGCGCTTTTCATGTTTTCTGGACGTCTCAAAACGCTTTACAGAATAGACTGTAAAGTGAATTGACTGTATATTGTGGGTGAAATGCAGCAGCCAATTGCTCACAGCAGTGACCCACAAACGGTCGTGGATTGAAGTGACCAATTTATTATTTTTTCTTGAGGGATTATTATCAGACGTGTGGAGTAGGAAAACTTGCCCAAGGTTTCACCCTGCTGGGAATCAAACCCAGGTCTCTCGCTTGCAAAGCGCGTACTCTAACCACTGAGCTACAGGACTCCATGAGTCCTTCAGCACCTCTTTCATATCAGGAGGATGTTTCAAAGGGCTTCACAGGATATGATGTAAAGTGTAATAATGGTGTACTTTGATGGTGAACACAATTTGCACACCACAGTGTCCTAAAAACAGCCATGAATTGAACAGTCAATTTTATTTGGAGGTTGTCAGCCAGGACCAAGGAAAAACTCCCTTCTCTTTTCAAATAGTGCCATGGATCTGTAACATCCAGCTGAACAGGCAGATGGACCTCAGTTTAATGTCTCATCTACCTCCCGCAATCCACTACAGTCCTAGCACTGCATTGCAGTGTCAGCCTTTACTATTTGATTTAAAAGTCCCAACATGGGGTTTGAACCTGCTATTTCAGAAACCCTTTTACGAATCTTACTCTATATACTTGTAGATCAGCCACTTGGGGAAGGAGAGCTTGCCCAACAACAACAACTTGGATTTATATAGCACCCCTCACGCAAAGATAGCATCCTGGAGCTCTGAACAAGAGCCTTTGAAACAGAAGGGGAGAGAGAAACATTTGATTGTCCCCTTCATTAACATTAAGCAGCAGAGAACAGTGGCACATAAAATTACACTGTACTAAAGGAAAGACTAATTTAACTTATTATAGCACTAATAATAGAATAACACTACTTTGATTTTAAAAAAAGACAATGGGCTTTAGGGATTATTTAACTGCATATAATGCCTGTTATCTCTGCAGTGTAATGACAGAGAGAGTTTTTTCTTCAGATCTAATGTTGAGTGAACCAATGCTCTACACAGCAGCAGCAATGAACTACAGGCCTCAGGCAGTGCTGACAGGTTTTATTGCTTAGATCTGAATTTAATCATAAATATCCAGTGCACTTAGAGGATAAAATACTTTTGATTTTTCGATTTTTGTTGTGATTCATGCAAAGGAAGAATAATCAAAAAAACAACAACTAGCGGGAGATAATGCAATAGTTTATTCTGCTATCTGCAAAATAAGTGGCATTATTTCCATTGGGATACTGCAATTTGACCGATGAGGTGCAGTCACTGAGATTCTTGAGTTACTCTAAATGTATTACATGATATTGAGGCATTAAAGTGTCTGACAAACCCCTCAGCTATAAATGGAAAAAGATTCAGTGATACAATGGAAAAGAAGTGACCTTTTCAATTGCAATCCTCCCAGCGCATTTTCACCTCTTGGGGTCAAAAAAGCGATGGGACTTATAACAGAGTTCACAGAAAACAACTCAAGAGTTGTAAGTGCCAGAAACTAGCAGTACATCACAGCTGATTGACTGGAATCTTGCTCCAAAGTGCTAGAAGTAATTGTTAGCCAGGTGCCTGATGTCAGGGTCGGATGCCAAGCAGGGGAGATGGGGGAAGCGGGAGGTGACCATAGGTGTGGTCGAAGAGGTTGTTTTTAAGGCAAAACTTGAAGACAGATAAAGAGGGAGCGGGGAACAAGAAGAAGGATTAACAAGTCATTGTGCATCGTGTTCTCCCAAAAATATACAGTCAATTCACTTTACAGAATATTCTATGAAGCGATTCAGACGTCTCGAAGACATGATATGGTGCTACATCAAATGCAAGGATTATTATTGTTGCAAAATGCTACTTTTCTCAAATGAATTGATTAAAACGAAGACTTTTTATGAAAATAAAATAAAGGATTCAAACGGTTTTCACCAAACGGCAGCAGGGTGAACGGCATGAGCGCAAGATGGGGCAGGGGTTGTGCTTTGATAGTCATCTGGTCCAGGAGAAGCCTATCACTAAAAAATCCCACTGATTCAGCAACGAGCCTTTCAATTGCTCTGCAATTATCTAACTGGCAAGATTTATCTTTAACCAAAGTAAACAGTTTCACTAGGGGGCAGTGAAGGGGGGAAAGTAAATGCACTTTCACTTATCCATAACCCAGAACAACAAAGACCCTAATTTGACTTAATCCTCCAGTGAGACCTAATCCGCAGAACCAATGAGCTAACAGGGTAAGAGGTCCCACATCTGTTTTCAGTCTAAAGTCTATTTCTGCTCTTTATATTGACTTTATCATTTAAAGCGTCATTATTGTTAATCCCATTCTGGGGGCCAGGGAAAGGGCAAGCATGAGACTCATTCCTGCAGTATTCCATATTGATTATGATTTCAGGACATGTGTGATAAATTTGATACTTTTTTTACTCTTACCCAGCTGTGTTTTGTAGAATTGTTTTTTAGTATAATTTGTAGAATCTTATATAATGATAATAATTCTTTTATTTGATATTGTGCATTTCATGGAGTCCTGTAGCTTAGTGTTTAGAGCACTCGCCTTCCAAGCGAGAGACCTGGGTTCGATTCCCAGGCAGGGCGAAACATTGGGCAAGTTTCCTTACTCCACACGCCTTTGTTCACTTAGCAGTAAGTAGGAACCCGGTTGTTAGTCAATTGGCAGATCGCTTTTCCGAGGGTAATAATCCTTTCCAAAAAAAAAACTAATAATTTGGTCACTCAATCCACAGCTGTTTGTGGGACACTGGCACACAGTCAATTGCGCACAGCAGTGTCCCACAAATAGTTGCATGGAACACTGTTTGGTTTGAGTTCAGTTATTCTTAAGCTGCCATCTGAGGAAAAAAAAGGAAGCCTGCTACAGAGGGTTGGCCCCAGAAGAATTACCCCCACTATGCTTTCAAGCATCTGATGATTGTTACAAACCAATATATAAAACTACTCCCATCTCTGCAAGAAGGGATTACTACCATAAGCAAAAAAGACGTTTAATGTTCGGGTTTGATATCTGATAGTTTTCTGCCTAGACTGCAGAAATGGGCGTAGCATCTTAAAAAAAATACAAGATAAAGCCAGGCTGTTTGTGACAATGATACAGCTGGAAAACCTTTCAGAGAGGATGACACTGGGAGTCTGAGAAAATTCCAAGCTGATTTATTCTGATATTCAGATGAATATTTGTTCACTGTAATAATGGAAGTTTGAATGAAATAGATTTTCCAAAGCCATACACATGCTACAGAATTCCACATTTAACAAGTAGTTTATCCCGACATTTGGGTATATAACATAATGGGTGTTTCGTATGTTAACCTTTTCAGTGCCTTTTTTTGATTGTCAGGTTCTTTCATCGCTGAGATATCTGAGGTCTGAAATTCCACACAGAATTAGACTTAGGACTTAAATGATTTAAGAAAAACATGAAAGTCTTAAGACATATGTGCGGAATTTTGGCAAATTCTCAACATTCAGTCTTAATTTTAGGACAATGGCCTTAATACCATGTGGTATTTTGAGCTTCTGCTGTCTTAGGAACATGATACAGTTTGGAACAAAGGGAAAGGGAAATCAAAGAAAAGAAGTCACCAGGGCCTGATGGCAGCATCCCAGAAAGATGAAGGAAGTCAGGGAGAAAATAGTAGATGCATTGATTACAATTTTTCAAACATCCTTTGAGTCAAATGGGTACCTGGGTAGCTCGTGTAACACCTCTGTTTCACAGTCTAGCCTAGCACTCCAGGGCAATCTGCCAGCATGCTACATTGTTGGAGGTGCCTACAAAAATACACAGTTACTACATTTTAGATGTAAAGGGGTTTGAGATGTCTCAACAATGTGATATATAGAGCGTGATCTGTGCTCTGGGACGCTACCCCCGGGTGAAGGGCACTATATAAATGCAAGTTGTTATATTACCCCGCCACCGGCATCCAGGCTTTCATTCGGCTCCCATTCTCGGGAACTCCATCTCGGAGAGAATGGGATCTTTAACATCCACATCAACACGGGGATGGGACCTTGGTTTAACATCTCATTCAAAGTAAGGCATCTCAGACAGTACAGCACACCCCCAGCACTGCCCTGGAATGCTTTTGCATGGAGCTCATTTCTTGACTTGGAGCTGAATCCATAACCTTCTGACCCAGAGGCGAGAGTGCTACCAACTGAGCCAAGCTGACACCTAAATGGCCCATTAGCAAGATAGATCAGTGGCACAAGCAGTTAAGTTAAAGTCCCAAGAGTCCTGAGTTTATACCCCAGCCTCCACTTGACATCTGACCTTCCTTTGGGCAATTCGGAATCAAGTTTCATATTGGACCACGAGGTGGAGCACTGTGCAACACTGATCTTTCGTTGCTTTGCATTTCACTCCTGGTAGGAGAAATGGGGTCAGAATCTTAAAAGGGTAGAATGGAAGGGAACAGAGAGAAGACTACATCCTGATTGGTTCAATGGCTGTTTCACCCGGCTAGTTGCCTTTCTGGTCAACTTACCAGGTTACTATGTGGAAAGCAAATGCAATGAAAATTATTAAAATGAAGGTAACCCACTTGCAAAGTTGCATTTTAAGCTCTCGTACAGCAGGGGATATAGCATCTACTCCAGCTCAATGTTGCCATGCCAATTCAGCGGCAGTGTTTCAGGCTAGTCAGAGGCTGTCAGGCACCCCGTGGAGGTGATAACACTCTTTAACATTTCAATCCACGAACCAGATGTCTGATGGGTTTTGTCCCTTGTTATCCAAGCCACTGCACTCTCGAGGACAAGGTGCCCCTATGTGGTAAGTCCTACTGGTTGAGTTATGGAGTGTCAATAAGGGTCAGACGTCAAAGCAAGTCCTGTGACTTTATTCGTCTGCCTTCCAAGCTGAGTAAATGATGCATCGACATGCACAGTTGTGAAGGTTTAGAACAAAAAGCTACTGAGCAAAGATTTCAGAGAATACTAAAAGAAATGTGCACAGCTTTAATGGCTTTCAGTCTCTTTATTTGAAATTCGCTATTCTAATTGATAGACTGTCATTCTTATTGATTTTTTGGGGGGGTCAGCCGGGTGTCTTGACACATGCAGAAACCCATCACCATGCTTAAGAGCATTCAAACCAAACTGAGAATTTAGTGCCATTCTGATATTGCAGCACTCCAGCTGCATTGCACTGGAGAGTGAGCTTAGATTACAAGCTCAAAGTCCCAACATGGGGCTTGAACCCTCCGACTCTGACTCAGAGGGGAGAATGTTACATACTGAGCCAGGCTAACACCACAGCCATTAAAGGAACATAATTCAGTTCATATCGGAACGACTACAGAAAAACACCGCTCAGAGGCACCAGTTAATAAAAAAAAAGCAATACTAAACTAAAAAAGATCTTTAGCTCAGTACCTTATATGTCAACGTGATGGATTATCCACTTGGCCAAACCACAAGTATCTTTATTACCTACTATTACAGTGTGCTTACAGCTCAGCTTTCTTGGCTTACAAAACTTGCTGTCCAAAGAGAAACAATGCATCTTCAGGATTTGTAGACTGTGCTCTGTGCTCTTGTGCAATCAGTTTTGTTAACATATCACATCTTGAACTCTGCATAGGAAAGTAATCAGTAGCATTCTCCTTCCATTTTCCTTGTATGTGAACCCAAATTGTGATCAGACGTGTGAATCACATATCACAACCAGAAGAAACACACTCTCCAATCTCCTTCTTAAGACGACTTGAGCAAAACTGCATGGGTCAATCTCGGAGTTTCGTATCACTCTTTCAAATGGAAGTTGATGTATCATTACATATTTTCAGATTTTTTCCCCAAAGGCAAGGAATTGCAGCAACAATAATTTACATTTAAATAAGGAGAAAAGTAAAGCAGTGTGAATATAGAAACTGTTTATACCTGACCATTTCATTTGAGCTCAGTTAGTGAACTCTCACCGCTGGGTCAAAAGGTTGTGGCTTTGTATCCTGCAATCAGGACTTGTAATCTTAATAATAATATTAAATAATATTATTTAAAAAATAATAAGACTTGTAATCTTGTAATGTAGGATGACACATAATTGCAGTATTGAGGGAGTGCTGGCAATATTGGAGGAAACAATATACTGAGGCCATGTTGTAGTGAATGTTAATGTTTCAATGCCTGTTTTGATATAAATAGGAAGTGCTACTGATCTTCAAGCCTTTCATCCAAACTCACCAAATAACAGATTCACTCACTGTTCTTTAAGGAACGTTACTGGTAGAGGTTATGTAGTTGCCAGTCCTAGCCAACAAACCTCCAGGTTAATCGGTCATTCACTTCACAGTTAGTTTGTGTGTCCTTGCTGATGTAAATTGCTGCTGTTTCCCTACAAAAAAAGTCATTCCACTTTTAGTGGAGTCCTGTAGCTCAGTGGTTAGAGCACTCGCTTTGCAAGTGAGAGACCTGAGTTCAATTCAAGGCAGGGCGAAACCTTGGGCAAGTTTCCTTACTCCACACGCCTAATAATAATCCCTCCAAAAACCAAAAACAATAATAAATTGGTCATTTTCAATCTACGACTGTTTGTGGGACATTGCTGTGCGCAATTGGCTGCCGCGTTCGCCCACAAATATACAGTCAATTCACTTTACAGTATATTCTGTGAAGCGCTTTGGGACGTCCTCCCGACGTGAAAAGCGCTATATCAAATGCAAGGATTATTATTATTATATTATTATAGTAAAGCCAGACAGACACAATGCTGCTTTGCTCCAGTAGTGGAGACACGCCAGCTACTCACAGTGGCCTGGCCATATTAGAAAATACAGTTGCAAGGTGTTTTATGCTTTGGTATGGTGGTATATAAGTGAAATGGTGGTTTATAAGTGACCTGAATGGTGGTATATAAGTGAAATTGTGTTTTGTATTATAATAATGCTTGCACCTTTCAAGTCTTAAGAGGATGTCAAAGCATTTCACAGGATATACTGTAAAGTGTAATGACTTTACAGTAAGCAAACGGGGTAGCTAATTTGTGCACAGCAACGTCCCACAAACGGCTATGAAGTGAATTTTATTTAGGTATTGTGCGTGAAGAGTAACATACAGAGAATCAAGAACAGAGAAAGGCAACTTGACCCTACAAGAACAAGCTGAATTTGCTTTGATCATAACCTTGCATCATCTTGGCTGTTAAACACTGCAACCTGCCAGGGACAACTATATCCTTCCTTTCATGGATTACCCAGTATCTCCAGATAGGGTTAACCAAAGGCTTATATAACAGCAGTAACATAATTGCTCTATCCCACAATTCATGCAGCCATGTTTGCTGAAGTCATGCTGATGGTTTCAACCTTTTTTCTCCAATAATTCCAATTCCTATTCAGTACACTGGATGGCTGTTGCATTGAACGCATATCCCCCCAATGGTATTGTACCCATTACTTGTTGGTTCAGTTTCCGAAAAGGTCTTGAATTGTTCTGGATAGGGTTCTGTTGTTCCTTATTATTTGACTTGACTTAATTTTCAGTGTTAGTCTGACATTATAAATTTCCCTCTGTCACAGGTGGACCTGGGGTTCCTCCGGCAGGTCTCTGCAATAGCAACACAAGGTGCTGTCTCGAAAGAAACAAAGAAGCAGTATTACATCAAATCATACAAAGTGGATATCAGTTCTAACGGGGAAGACTGGATAACAGTGAAGGAAAAGAATAAACAAAAGGTATGTTGTTTTATGTTAAAGTTCTTAACAAACTTGATATTCAGCAGATAAACTTCTGATTGAGAAAAACTCAAATTAGCTCTAACCTTAAAGTAGAGGGTTCACCATTCACCTGCATTTATTAAGAGTGCTCCTTGAACTCAGATGAAAGCATCAACAACAACAACTTGCCTTTATATAGCGCCCTTCATGCAGAATAGTATGTCCTCTGTAGCTGATAAAGTAGCCATGAAATGAAAATCAAACATGCTGGACGTGCTCAGCTGGTTACTCAGCATCTGACAGAACAGGTTAATGTTTAAGTTATGGGAATGGAGTGGATGAGGAATAAAGAGTCTGATTTCCATCTTTCACAGTAATTCTTCTTGTCCTTAACATAAGGTTAATAATAATAATCTTTTATCACGCATATGGTCACCTCCCCTTCTCCCTTGTTCGGAGTCCAAGTTGCATAGCTCTCTGAGATATTATCCTGCGTGAAGGGTGCTATATAAATGCAAGATGTTGTAATAATTTTTACCTTTGATATAGCCCCTTTTACGTTGGGATGATGTCTGAAAGCGCCTCACCGGATTTTACTGTAATATATATTGACTGTGTACTTTGTAGACAAATTCGGCAGTCAATTTGTGCACAGCAATGTCCCACAAACAGTCATGAAGTGATGTCTAATTTTATTTGGGGGATTGTTGGTCAGGACATCGGGAGAAACTCCCTATTCTTTTCTAACAGTGCAATGAGATCTGTCCGCCAGAACAGGTAGATGGGATCTCAGTTTAATGTCTCATCCGAAGGATGGCTCTTCCAATGAAGCGTGCCCAGATTAACCCTTTGAGCAAATCCGATGTAGCTGGTAAAGTAACTACAATGTAGTTAACCAAATGCTAAATTTTAAGTAAGTGAACAATTACAATACACCAGTGGATTACTCTAAGATCCATGCAATAGTTAAAGTGGCTCATAATGATCTGGAGTAGATTTTCCCATGTTAGGATCACACGGGCAAGGTCTATTTATAAACAAATAATGAATGAGCTCCATGGTTTGCACTGCAGAACTCATGTTTTATTATCTTAAGCTAGGCTCCAGCTTTGTTCAGTTGGTAACAGTCTAGGTTCGTGGGTTCAAGGCAACATTTCATACGATGTTCATAGGCTAAGATTACAATTCAGTAAGGAATGGCAATCTTTGCATTTTCAGTGGTACCATCTTTCCGATGAAGTGCTAAACTGAGGTCCCATCAGCCTATTCAAGTGGGGGTTAACAAGCCATGGTGCTGTTTGAAAAGGGAAGGGTGTTTTCCCTTGGTGGCTTGACTGGCAGGCCCATCGGCCAATCAGAGGTGAAGACACCCCAATGCGTTGCCCGCTGGACTGGAAGTGGGCCTATGAGCTGGGAGAGGGGCAAGAGGGGACCCCTGGGTGACACGGGCTGGCTCAGCCTTCAGGACTGGCTGTGTTCCTCCTCAGGGCTCAGGGCTTTCCCCTCTCAGCTCCCTTTACAGAGGTGAGCTGTAAGTAGTTTGGGGGGGTGTTTGAGCCCTCGCCACTCACTGCCAATGCTAGTACGTGTATTTTGAGGCTGTCAGCTGGACAGTCACTTTGCTAAACTTGCTTTTAAGTTTCAACTCATTTTATTCAGAAATATTAATATATGCTGAATCCTGTCTTGGCAATCTGCATCAGCTGCAGGGAATACCTCTCTATGACAGGCATCAACTGACAGGCATCAGTAGTGCCTCTGAGACATCTGTCAGACCAGGAATTTATATTATGTGAAGTTTGTCAACATTTGCAACAAAGGTTAAACAGAAAGAAGTAGCAGTAGTGCTCCATAGGTCCAGAGTCACTGAAGCTTCATCTCTATTTGTGATCAAGTCTAAACAGCACACCTAGCTGTCCCAGATCATTGGACTTGTCAAGAAATATTGAGACAGTGAGACCCTGGAGTCAAATTGATATGATACATTAAAATTTGCATATAGCGGATCTTAGAGGTACTCGGTCTATCTTTCTTCGACCCTCTCAGACCTCGCTCGGATGCTGCCATTTGAGACCAATCTCCTGACAAGAGCATCCTTCAGTCCCCAGCCCAGTGGTGGCCAACAAAATATTTTTTTTTGATTGAATATTCAATCATGACAGAACTCATGATTGAACATGGACTTACCTAGAATCAGGCGAATGTCCGAAGTGGCGGGGGGACTGGGGGGGAGGTGTTTCTTCACAACAACAACAAATTGCAATTCTTTATGCTCTGGAGGGAAGAATTAATATTATTCATGATTGGCAACAATATATAATAATAATAATCCTTGCATTTGATGTAGCGCCTTATCACGTCTTCGAGACATCTCAAAGCGCTTCACAGAATATACTGTAAAATGACTGTATATTTTGGGGGCAGGAGATTTTGTAAAGGAATACCAGTTAATTCAAGGGGAGGCTTTGAGGGCTTTAAGATGTTCTCCCAATGTGAAAGGCAATATATAATGTAATAAATTGTAATAAAATTGTATTGTAAAAAATTAGTCATTCACTTCATGGCTATTTCTGGGACATTGGTGTGCGTACATTTACCACAGTTTCTGCCTGCAAAGTAGTCACTACACTTTACACTTTATCCTGTGAAGAAAATAATAAATTTGATATAGCACCTTATCGCGTCTTCAAGACGTCTCAAAGCGCTTCACAGAATATATTGTAATGTAAATTGACTGTATATTTTGTGGGCGAAACTTGGCAGCCAATTGCGCAAAGCAGTGTCCCACAAACAGTTGTGGATTGAAGTGACCAATATATTATTATTTTTTTAAGGAATTATTACACCCGGAAAAGCAATCCGCTTATTGAGTAACAACTGGGTTCCTACTTACTGCTAGGTAAACAGAAGTGTGTGGAGTAAGGAAACTTGCCCAACATTTTGCCCAGCCGGGAATCGAACCCGGGCCTCTCGCTTGCAAGGCGAGTGCTCTAACCACTGAGCTACAGGACTCCCAACCATAAGAAAAAGCAGAAATCTTAACATTGCCAATCTAAAATCAATGTGTTAAATGTATTTAATACAAATGTAGGACTAGGAAATCGCTTCAGTGGTGGTTGTGGTGGGGGGGAGAATGGGGGAGGTTGTTATCAAGATTTGAAGTAGTCATTTCCACCGTCAGCCACCCTCCCACCTCATTGTTGCAAAGACAAGAATCCTTCATATTTCTAAGTAGTGCAACAAATAGCTTCAGAAAGAACATTTGATGAAGAAGAAAGTTTGACTGATGCAAATGTGACTTAATTTCCATCGGCAGAGTGCACTCACCAATCCTGTCAAATGAAATGGATCATCCACCTGAAAGCCCTTAACTTAAATGCAATTAAATGAAAGGGAGTCTCTGTGCTAGTCTTCCATGACGAACGATTCAAGCAGTGTATTGACAAATAGAATGCTAAGTAGTTATAAGATTCTCAGTGATTGCAAATTAAAGGCTTTGAATACTCTAAGCTTTCGTGGGCAAATAGACCCAATGAAAATGTTGTAATAAATTAGAAAGATTTGCACATATGTTAATGTTAACCAGAAAATAATATGAAGCAGTCCCTGCATGGAAACTGTAAACTAGGCTCCTGGAGTTCAGTTCTTCCAGGTGAAATGCTTGAAATAGAATCTGAATGGAAATGTCTGAGTCTTTTAAACTCATTTAAAGCATACATAAATGTAGGCTGCAAGGTGGTAGATACTTATGTGGATGTTTTAATAGAGTTTTAGTCCTATAAATCTTGCTTTCATGATAAACCAAATTTCAGGAATAACTCCTGAAAGTTTCTCACCAAACTTTATAGAGGTACTGTATACAAGGCGTTTAAAAGGGATTGAGAAAGTAAAATATCAGCTTTCCTGTCCCCGCCCTCTGAAACTCCATCCTGGAATCCCTCTGGCTCGACCCCTCCCTTGCCTCCTTCAAGGCCCGTCTCAACACTTTCCTATTTGACTGTTCTTTCTGCCACCCTCCCACCTCCCTTACCTCCTATGGGTAATCATTGTGACATGAAAGGCACTATATAAATATAATTTTGTTGTTGTTGTAAACCCAGAACAATACTTTCACATATGCCAATTCAGCAGGTTAAGAGAGCACAGGTATAGGGAATAGACAAAGTTTTTCAAAGTTCTTGGCGAATTTAGGACAGACACCAGGAGGTATTTATTTCCCCAGATGGTATTCAGTGACTGGAATTGGTTGTTAGGAAAGGTTAGGACATTCAAAAAGCAGTTTGCTAAAGTGATGGGAGGATGGTAGGATGATTATTCTGGGATGACTCAATGGGTCAAACAAACAAAGATTTCCCCAACACTCTTCCGTGAAAACATTGACTTTTACAGTTCTGCCAGAAACCGTGATCCACTTTCCAACGCACTACATCCTGTGTTCTCCTGTCAGGACTCAAACAATAAGCCCCCACCCACCCCTGTGTCTCAGAAAAATTGTGCCATAGTCTATTTTTCCAGCCAAGCAAGCCAGAGGTGACAGAGAGCAACATCATTTTATTTTAAACAAAAAAAAGTCACGTGCCCTTATTCGAGGATCTTTTTGTATCTATTTTGTAAGTGTGGACTACTTTTAACCATTTCATCCATCTGTTTTCTGTGAATAAGGATGTGCGAGATGACTGGCAGATCATTGTGTGCTCACTTTAAATAAAAGCCACAAACTGTGCCACTCAATCTAATTCCTGGGTCTCACTGTGTAGATCCCTGCACGTAACATAAACGTAGACCATTGATTACCTGAGCTATTTTACATGTCTCATCAGGAATGCAATTAAGAAGTACAAATAAGATTCCAGTATGGGATTTGAGTTCTGCTACAGCTGATGAAGGTTCAAGATAGTGGGCATATCCTGAAGTAATCTTACTTCAGTAACACACTGCAAATGTCGAACAGACAGAGAATCCTTAGTATTGATTGTACAAAGAAACTTCTTTAACAGAGTGTTTTTAGTCATAAACGCTATTCTTCTCTTTTGGAGCTAAAATTCAAATTCAATCTGAGTGAGATTGATAGAGATCTATTTTTTTCCTGATGACGGTTGAAATATCTGAAACAAAAAAGAGCTTTGTTGGCCTTATGCTAGCTTCAGCAGACACAAGTCCACAATATAATGCTGCAGGGTTCACTAAGCCATACTTAGAACTATACTATTGACTACCACAGAGCTGATGAGGCCGAGTGTCTTCCACTTTGGTTTGGTTTGAGACTTTACTAACACAGCAAAACTAGGGAGTGAAGCCAGACAAGTATACACATCCTTCAAATTAGACGTCAATATGTTTGGTTGGTTTAGGTGAACATTAAAGATCACCATGGCACAATCTTTAAGAAGTAGCTGTTCAGTATTTCTCCCTGTAAATGAATTGGTTATTGACTGAAGACAAATTGGTTATTTGCTTTATGGTGGAACATTGCAGGTGCTTTTCCTTTGCCTACATAAATAAATCACTGCACTTCATTGTACGTACCTCAACGCTCCGAGAAGCTACCACTCAATATAAGTGTAAATTGTTTGCATCCTCCACTTGACTGGCTCCGGCCTCCTACTTGTCCTTTGTGCCCTCTGTTTCATCATTGGTGGCCCCACTATGCCCCAAAACTCTGGAACACTCTTCCTCTATATCTCCACCTTGCCCCTTCCTTCGCCATTTTCAGGTTGCGCCTGAAGACCCTCCTCTTCGATCCCACCCCCCGGCTCAGCCTCATGCTCTGCCACTGTCAAGCGCTCTGGGACGCTACCTGCAAGTTGTTGTTATTTGTGTAAAGCGCACTGAGACGGGATCCATTACTGTGAAGCGCTTCGAGACGCCATCCAGCATGGAGGGCGTATATAAATCCAAGTTGTTGTTGTTGTTGAGACGTTTTGATGAGATCATTTTCAGGCAGCTTTGGATTTTAAGGTTGTTCAGAAGTTTGGAGGAGGGGGTGGTATTTCTATTATTGCTATTATTGCTGTTGATATTCAGTAGATTGTCTTAAGGGGTTCAGCAATCAAGAGGGAACTAAACAAATACCTTAAAATAGTCAGCTAAAGGGTATGGGGAAAAGACAGGTAAATGGGACTGAAAATATTGCTCTTGAGGGAGCGACACAGACAGACAGACAGACCTTCTTCTGGCCCATAACTTTCAATGGTTCTATGGTTAAACATGTATTAATCGTATTCCTTAAATAAGGAACGCAAGGAGTGAAATTCTACCTGGGTCCATATCAACTCTTTTTTTCTCAGCATTTCAGAACCTCCAGAATTTATCAAGTTGCTGAATTCAGCCTTAATTAACCTTTTGAAGTCTGTTTTCTACATTCCTGAAAATAACTTGACAGAAAAGCAGCTTTAAGAGTGCACATGAGAACTTATATTCTTATATAAGAATATAAGAACTTATATTCAACAACATTATATTTCTATAGCGCCTTTCACGTACCAAGTTCTTGATGCACTGAAATGTAGAGTAAATTTAAATTTAGACCTTAGTGGAATTTGCTTCCCACAATGTGTTTGGGAATGCTGAAATATTAACTCTGATGTCTGGGCCTAGTTAAGTGAAGTGCTAAAATATTGCTAGTGCCAATATCATTACCTACTCCTTCAGAATACAGCAGAAATAGGGACAATAATAATAATAATCCTTGCGTTTCATAAAGCACCATATCACGTTGTTGAGACGTCTCAAAGCACTCCACAGAATATATTGTGAAGTGAATGACAGTGTATTTTGTAAGCAAAACATGGCAGCCAATTGCTCACATCAATGTCCCACAAACAGTTGTGTTTGACAAATGTGGAAGGAAAAAGTACATTCTATTGTGTTATTATAGTTGTGGTTAAACTGATTCTACTCTTTAATGTCTGCAGATATTTCAAGGTAACAGCAATCCCTCCGAAGCAGTTGTAAGACAGTTTCCTCAAACGGTTTTGACACGATACGTCCGGGTCAGACCACTGACCTGGGAGACTGGTGTGGCACTGCGCTTTGAGCTGTATGGTTGCAAATTCACAGGTAAGGAATAATAAGTCTGCGAAAGACAAATGTTAAAGAAAGCTTACACACTCTGTATTTTTCTGTAATTGTTCTGTATCTATTAGTGCTGCACAATACCAGCGTTTGTTTAACTTAGAGTAACTTAAAGTAACCGATGTAACTTAGAAACATTAAACAGACTCCTGTTTCACAGTGTTTCAAGCAGTCTAAACATAGCAGTACACAAAGCACACACAACCCCCCCCCCCCCACCCCCCACCCCCCACCACCACACAACCATCGCAATCTCCATTCACATCAATACAGAGAAACTACAACATAAAGTCTTTTTACAATTAGCAAGTGACCTTCAGTAGTGCTGTTCGGGACAAGATAAATTGAGTCCTCAGCCACTCAGTATAACAGTACATTATTTAATGTTGTCTGTGTTTTTCAATACATATCACATTAAATCACAGTTAGGATTAATTCATAATGAGATACGCTTCATATTGGAAATTCACGGTGACATTTCAGTCAGTTATGACAGCTCCTGATACAATGTGACTCCTGTTATAATGAAACGTTGACAGTTGTTGAGATGGCAAATGACGGCATTTGGGGATTTAAGAAAATGTCAGTCACCAGTCAGGATTACAGAAATGTAATGTTAAATTGTTATTGAGGGCAAGGAATTAAAAAATGATAAAAAATAATCCTTTCATATGATATAGCGCTTCTCGTATCAGGAGGATGTCTCAAAACTTTTCACAGTATTTACTGTAAAACATAATTAATTGTGTATTTGTAGGTGAATGCCGAGTCACTATTGCACACAGCAATGTGCCACAAACAGCCATGAAGTTAATGACCAATTTTATTTGGGGGATTGTTGGCCAGGACACCAGGAGAAACTCGCTTCTCTTTTCATGTGACTTTCAACATTAATTTGAACAGGCAGACAAAGCGCTGCATTGTCGGAGGTGCTGTCCTTTCCAGACCAAAGGATGACATGTCCAACAATGCAGTGCTCCTCCAGCACGGCATTGGAGTATCAGTCTAAACTGTAAGAGTTCAAAGTCCCGACATGGGGCTTGAACCCACAATCTTCTAACTCAGAGGTGAGAGTGCTACCAACCGAGTCAGTCGATGTAGTCAACCAAAACTGCAAAGGAAATAAAGTTTAAAGTAGCAGGATTTACTTAACATAACAAATCAGATCATTACCTTTAAAGGCAAAGTTTACATTGCATGGTTTGGTCTTCAATAACATGCGTCAGTTCCTGGAATTAGCTATGTCTTGAGCTTATAGTGTAGGCTGACAATCCATTGCAGTTTGTGGGGAAGCACTATATTGTTGGAGGTAGAGTCCTTTAGACAAGATGTTGTTCCTGTCTGTCTGTTCTTCATGTGGACGTTATTAAAGATTCCTGGCACTATTCAAAAAGAGAAGAGGGCTTCTTTCACTGACCTGGCCAACAATCCTCTGAATAAAATTGAGCATTCACTTCATACTGATTGTACTGTGTACCAAAATGATGGCATGTTTGTCTACAATAATAATTCTAATAATAATCCTTACATTTAAGGGCTTATCACCTTGTCAAGATGTCTCAAAGTGAATCACAGAATTTGCTGTAGATTGTAGTGACTGTGTCCTTTGTAGGTTTATAGAATAGAATGCATCGTGAAATTAATTACTGTGAAGTGTTTTGAGACATTTCAATTTTCCAGAGGCTATAAAAATGCCTCCAAACGCTTCGCAGTAATTAGTTTCATAGTGCATTGTATTCTATATACCCACAAAGTACACAATCACTGTCTTACAATGGTTTTATCAGCTGTGCTGTGCTTTAATTGAAACCTGTTCATTATCTCGATTTCTCTTCGACACCAGCCTGTCAGTGTATCAGCAGTGATGCATTGTGTAGCCCGTTTTATTTATCTCTTCCAAGAAATATTATTTTATTGCTGTTTAACCATCATTCACTATGTTGCACAGATCGCCCCTGCTCTGGAATGCTAGGAATGGTATCTGGCCTTATCTCTGATAATCAGGTCACTGCTTCATCCACTGTGGACCGTTACTGGGCCCCTGAACATGCTCGGCTACTCACCAGTCGATCGGGCTGGGCATTGCAATCAGCCAGTCGGCCTTATAATAACGAGTGGCTGCAGATCGATCTGGGAGTGGAGAAGGAGGTGCGAAGCCTTATCATTCAGGGGGCAAAGCAGAGGGAAAACAAGGTGTACATGCGAAAGTTCAAGCTTGCCTACAGCACAAACGGATCTGACTGGAAGATGGTCTCAAATCCTGGCAGCATGAAACCAAAGGTGAGCGGACATGAGGCTGCATATTAAATGCATACGGTAGCGTATTGCCAAATATCACTGCACTGAAAAACTTTCAGCCTTTGCATTTGAGTCCTGCCAGGTCAGGGGCAGCGCTCACTCACTGTCGAGTTGGATAATGGTCACTCGGATGAGATGCCAGAGAGTAACGAATTTTCTGTAAATTGAGACAAACAGAAGAGGAGCGGAATAAAACCCATCTTCGCATTATAAAGATATAGCAAAACAAGCAGCAAAAATGCTAAAAACGGTCAACTTCCAGGTCATCAGGAGGCTAGCAACATCACTTCTTGCACACAAGACGTGCACATGAAGCCTGTTGGCTGCTCCTTGCGCAGTGAAACCAGCCATGTTATAAGGCAGGTTGGGATTTTATTGACCCTCAGCGATATAACGGTGCTGAGGGTATTTGCTTATCTCAGTCTGTAAGCTATCTCTCTAACTATCATCACCATTCTAAAATGGACACTCACCCAGTTTTGGTTGAATGAGTTGATCAACAGATCATCATCGATTCCTCGTGCTGACTGTTTGCATGAATCGCTGAGAGAAAATAACACAAAGATTGAATCCAGTACACAAAACATGGATGCAAACAAAATCCCACAGTTTTCAATAGCACATTTCTCTAAAACCATTCCAAACATTTGCTCCTCACTGGGGAAATATAAGCAGTACCTGATTTGATCAGTGGCTGACATGAGAGTGAAATTGAGCTACTTTTAGACTCTGTTTACTTTCTGTGCTAGTTAATTAAATCACAGCGAATGTTCACAGAAAATTAGGGTGAAGGCTTCTGGGTGATGTGACTATTATTACTTTGAGGGGGTTTTGCTCCTGGTGACATCCCAGTCAAAGATAATAATCATTGCATTTGATATAGCACCTTATCACATCTCAAAGCACTTCACAGGATTTTACTGTGAGGTATAGTCACTGTGCATTTTGTAGGGAAATGTGGCAGCCAATTTGCGCACAGCAAAGTCCGACAAATAAACTACAACAACTTGCATTTATATAGTGCCGCTCATGCAGGGTAGTGTCACACATCCATGAAGTGGATGACCAAATTTATCTGGAGGATTGTTGGCCAGGACATTGGTGAGAAACTCCCTTCCTTTTCAAATGATTCAATGGGATCTTTAACAACAACAACTTGGATTTATATAGCACCCTCCACCCGGACGGCATCTCAGAGCGCTTTACAGTTTCGGATCCTGGGATCGAGCCACGGGGAGGGGGGTGAAGGTGACCAAAGGTGCAGTCGAAAAGAAAGGTAACATACACCTGAACAGGCAGGCAGGACTTTGGTTTAATGTCTCATCTGAAGGATGGTAACAAAGTGGGCAATCCTCATGTGTGAGCCCAGACACTGTGGATCAGCACCCCATACAACCACGAGGGGAGGAGGACTGCAACGAAGCCCAATAATTTTATCACTGATACATGTGTTTTCCAGTGAAAACTATTCCAGTGGATAGTAAACAGGAATGGAAACCCTGGCTATTTTGTCCTCTAAAATATCTGTCACGAATACAGTCATTCAAATGATCCCCGATTGTGTTGTAGATTTCTGTGCTTCTAAGGTATCCAAAATCAACTGGCTCAGGAATCACGGGAAGATTGAATCTGTGAAATTTCTGGTCTGTAGGATTCGGATCCACACGACCAGCAAAGCTATCAGGGACCCCAGCTTTCCCACCCTGTGCCAATAGTTTGGCTCTCATTTCTCTTTCTATTCTTAATACAATTTGGTGGTGGAAACAAAAATCCTGTGTCCAATTGTATTTACTTGTGTAGTTCCATAATCCAGGTGCCCCCACAAGGCTTTAATTTCTCCAGAGATAGACCTCAAACCCTCTACATTTTGAAGTTTGAGGTTAAGTTTTCCTAACTTTTAAAATATAACAAACGAATAACTAAATTACCATTGGAAATACAGAGACCAGTGGCATCTGTCTGCCGTACATCGCTTTTATTAATGGCTTCAACCCATATCTGCTGTTCTTTTTCATGCTGTCTAGACATTCGAAGGAAATAGCAATTATGATACGCCTGAAATTCGGAAATTCGAGCCGATGTTAACAAGATACATTCGTGTCTACCCTGAGCGAGCATCGCCAGCTGGACTGGGACTGCGCATGGAGCTGCTTGGCTGTGATATTGAAGGTACATAAACTTTCACACACTCAGAGGCTTATTTGTCACTCTGTAATAATAATAATTATCCTTGCATTTGATATAATGCCTTTATATCAAATGCATATTGATATAAAGAGCTTCACAGGATTTACTGTAAATTGCTTTGCTGGCCTTGGTTTAACGTATCATCCAAAGGACGGCACTTCCATCATTGCAGAGCTCTGAGCCCCAGCTCTGTATTGGAGTGTCAGCCTAGGCTGCGAGTTCAATGTCCCAACGTTGGTTTGTTAAATATCGACTGGCCTCAGCTATGATACATGAGACATGTGCTAAACATCATATCACATCTCACAATTTTCAGCATGCGGTAGCTTTTGATTTGAAAGTATTGTTAATGCGGATGTATAGTAGTTCAGGAGCATGCCTTTTTCCATGGCATTTACTCTGACAAGTGGAGCACATTTATTTTTAGCAGTACACAATTACTGCAGATGTAGAGTTTGTGGTTAAATCACAAGCAATTTACCAATGGTTTCTATTGTTGAAATCCACCTGGGATCAGGGTTTATTCCTATTGTCTTGCTGCTTACTGGACAGTGCAGGGCCAGTATTGTTTGAATATCTGTAATGCAAACCTGGCCAACAATCCCCTAAATAAAATTTGAGGCTGTTTGTGGGATAATGCTGTGAACAAATTAGTTGCCATATTCACCCACAAGATACAGTGACTAAACTTTGCAGTAAAATTCCTTGAAGCTCTTTTGAGACAACCTCCCAATGTGAAAGGTGCTATATCCAATGTAAGGGTTATTATTAGTTTTATTATCTTGACACTTACCTGTGTGAAATAGTTGCAGTGTTTCACTGGGGACAGTAATGTGACTAGCAGTGCAGCTCAACCTAAGTAAATTAATACCAGTAATTAGAAAAACCTTCTTAAAAGTTCACCCACAAATACACAATCGCCACACTTTCAGAAAACTCAGAAGCGCTTTGCAAAGTTTTGATATTATAAATGCCAGATATACAAGTCAAGGATTATTATTATGAGTGAATGCGCTGGTGAATCATGCAATAACTTCAGGGGCACACAGAAGTCTCACGTTGAGCACGGTGAGTTCTGACTTGCTTATATCGCATTCTGGCCCCATTACTACAACAACAAAAAACTTCCATTAATATGGCACCTTGGATTAACATCTCAGAGTGCTTTACGCTGAATACTTGACACTAAGCTCGGGGGTGGGCAGGAGTTGAGGGGGAAATGAAAGGAGGGAGGTGACCACCGTTGAAAAGGTAGTAATCCTCGCCACAGAGTTTGTTGCATCAGTAAACAATACCAGTGTGCTTTTTTGCTTTCAGGCTGCAGATACCATTTAACAATCAGCACCGACTGCTAAGATAAACTGCTTTATACTAATACAATTCTAAACAATGCAGGTTCTCAAGTGTGAAATGTTCTTCAGTATTATTTTGTGCTGCTAACTGTTGAAACCATAAGACCTTTACATACAGGGAGTAACTAGCGTCTCAACCTTAATGGCTTTTAGAATTTGAAAGAGAGATTGTGTGTGCAGGTTATTTACTCAAAGGCTAAGTTCAGCTTGAATACCAACCTTTATTGAACTCATGATTAAAAATCCTCTGGAAGCAGATCTCCCATTGCTTAGGAGTAACAGCAGTTCTGGTTGGTTTGATGGAGAATGTCTTTAGATTACTAATCAGTGGTGTGTTTTCTGTAGGGGGTTTGATTAATGGGTATAAGGACATTTTAGATGCTGCAAATTCTTGACGCGTGAATCTTCCAATTACAGTGCCGACGTTCCCGCCAACCTTAGACTCAGATGAATGCGATGAGGATCTTGGAAACTGCCACAGTGGAACAGGTGATGGCTTCGAATTTACAGGTGCATAAACCATCCTCGTAACCTAATTTCTCTAACCTTCAACATCCGCATGTTTGCCAACGATTCAAGGGCAAAATCTATAAAGCAGATAACATCTCCACCCCCCATTTTTCACCTGACTAATAAACTTACCTTTACATCTTCATTTAGCTAATTGTAGTTAACCATTTAATCATCATTTTCCTTTATCAGGAACTGCAGTGTCACTCTGAAGAGTGAAAACACAAAAAAAGTAATATTAATACCTTTTTTTCCATTGACCAACTCAGCTGAATACAATGCAATGACATTCAAAGCATTTGACACTGTTGACTGGGCACCCGAGCTGAGGGTGGAAGCCGAGGGTAGGGAGAGGGTGGGAGCCGATGGGTGGGGGGGCAGAGGGGACAACCAAATTAGAGAGGTACTCTTGGGTCTGGCTCCGAATGAGGGAAGGAAAGGAGGAAGTGAGTAGGAGGGAGTCAAGGATGGAGTCACAGGATGGAGTTCCTTGCATTTGATATAGCCTTATCACACCAAAACACACAGTTAATACTGCACTGTGATATGTAGTGACTGAATTTGTTGGCGAAGAGGCAGATAGGACCTTGGTTTCACATCTTATCCAAAGGACAGCATCTCCAGCAACTCAGCACTCTCCCAATTCTGCACTATACTAGCCTATACAGTGAGCTCAAAGTCTCCCAACACAGAATCCTAACTGAGCTAGGCTGACACCTAATTTCCCTTTTAGATTTTTTTTATGGACTTATCTTCAACAGACATTTATGATAAATCATTCCATATTCTAACCAACCCTCTTCTAAAAATCTACTTTTTGTTTTGCTAGTAAATGCTCAATTTATGCGTATATTGAAGTCCTGTAGCTCAGTGGTTAGAGCACTTGCCTCGCAAGTGAGAACATAGTTCAATTCCCGGCAGGTCGAAACCTTGGGCAAGTTTCCTTACTCCACACACCTGATAATAATCCCCCAAGAAACAAACAAAAAAAAATTGGTCACTTCAATCCACGACTGTTTGTGGGACACAGTTGTGTGCAATTGGCTGCTGCGTTTCACCCACAAATATACAGTCAATTCACTTTACAGTATATTCTGTGAAGCGCTTTGAGACATCTAGAAGACGTGCAAAGTGCTATGTCAAATGCAAGGCTTATTAATATTATTATCATTGGAGAGTGAAATATTTTTCTCTACTCACTCCATCAAAATTATCCATAATTTTGAAAGCTTTGTTTGATCCACTGTTAACCATTTCAGTAAAAGCTATCTCAACTTTTTAGGTGTCTTCACATAATTATAACCTCTCATCTCTAGTATCATCCAAGTAACCTTGTGTTGTACAGGCACGAGTGAGGGTGATCAACAGGTGTGAGGTCCTGCGAAAGAATGAGTTTAACAGATGATCATTGACTAGAGGGCCTCAATTTAAGCTAATAATAAAGCAGCATAGGGAGAAATTAGGAGGATTCTTTTTGAACTGACAGTTTTCAGGATGTGGATTGCTCTCCTGGGTGCGGTAGTTGAGGCAGATTAGCTTTCAAAAAGGAACTAGATAGATAATAAGAAGAATCCTTGCATTTGATATAACACTTTATCACGTCATTGAGACCTAACCGAAAAGGAGTAATTTTGCAGAGCTATGGGGAAAAGGCAGGAAAATGAAATTGAATGGTTTGCTTTGTCAAGGAGTCATCACAATGGACCAAATTTCCTTCTGTGTTGTCAATTTCTGTGGTTGTATGGAGAAGGAATACAGTGTAAGACGGTATATTTGGAGCTTAGGAGGAACAGCAATGTCTCACAAACAGCCATAACTGCCTAATTATATTCGGGGGATTTATGGCACAAATAAGTGAGAATCTCCCTTCTCTAAGTAAAGACAAGAAAGCTAGTGACGAGGAGTGACAGGCTGGTTTTCAGAGATGAGAGAAGGATTTACCTAGCAGACTATAAACCATTCCTTGTATTCTCAATTTCCGGTTGTCTCCTCTCTGCCTGGTGATCCCCATCGTCTTCACAAAGTGCTTTAGAACAGTCATTCTATGTGAAAGGTGCCTGAAGCCGCCACGATACTGGCGATACTGGTGCAGTGTGCAAGTCTTGGTTTTTGTAGTATCATTGATTTTCTGGATAGCAGGACAGTCTGGATTAACATCACTGTTAGCAGGACAAGTACTCTTTACCACATCAAAATGTAGCTTTGTTGTAGTTTAACCCATACCGTTCTCGTTCACAGCCTAAGACGCTAAAATCTCAGTTTTTGTATGAAGCTCCACAAAGCTGCACTTAATAGCTGGTAGCTTGGTCTGAAGTTGAAATTGTTTGCCCACGTTGATCAAATTGAACAAGATAGAGTGCATTTTTTTATCAATCCCTGTATGTTCGTTCCTATGCTCCAATCTGATGTGTCTACTTTGTTTCCAATTACACCCTGTTATTATGCTACCTGGGCTCAGACATTTCTCACCATCTTCAGTTTAAGACCAATGTCTTAAAATGTAAGACCATGGTGCAATTCTGTAAAACAATCTTTAAATCTAAACTTAATTTAGAAACTGATTTTCTGCAGCTCCCAAAAAACTTCTCCAAATTAAGGCTGACAAAATACATAGTCATTCCACGTTACAGTAAATCCTCCAAAGTGCTTTGAAACAGTTTTCTGACTTGAAAGGTGCTACTTCAAATACAAGGATTATTATTATTTATTCTAAGGCTTTTTAAGACTTTTCCAAAATTCTGCACCATCTTAAATTCATAGACAGTATTGTTCTTAAACTTAGGAACATAGGAAATTTCAAGTGCCTGATATAAGGATCGCCCACAAAATATATTCTGTGAAGTGCTTTAAGACATCTCAACAACATGATAAGGCACTATATTAAATGCAAAGATTATTATTAAGGTTCCTCAGGTTATTGTAACATAATGTTTTTACGTAACTGTTGTGTTTACAATTCAGATTTACCTCCACATAGCAAGACACTTCAGAATATTAAACTCATTTTGTAACTGGGAAATCACTACATGGAACTTCCTGATAACTCCGTAATGACGTGGATAAATGTAAATTTGTATCGTATTGTGGTTGGTTTGATGTGGTGAGCTGGCAAGTTTCAGCAAGTGCAATAGGTAGGTTTGCTACAGCTTGTCTCAATGCTCCTGGTAAATTCAACTAAGGTTCCCATGTCTGAGAACAGGCCACTGCTCAAAGGAGCATGAGATTGGAAGCCACAATGGTGTTTCTCTAACAGCATTTACTGGCAGGGAAACTTTTGTCCCCTTTCATGAGGCTCAGTCTGGTTGGAACCCGGGAGCTCAGAGGTGAACGAACAGCAGAGTCAGTCAACTCAGGCCTAGTATCATCGAGTTGCCATCTGAGTGTCTTCACCTGATTTCTTATGTTATTCCTCCTTTGTAGATGGCAATACTGCTCTCGGAACCGAGGAGCCAACGCTGCCCGAATCGCCAGCATTCCCAGGTAAGAGGCATTGTTGATCACAGATTATGTGCAGAAAAGGAAGGTTGGCATCTTCTCACACAGTGTCTGTACTACAGGTTAATGCATTGCTGGTTCTAATATTGGTTCCCCTCTTTCACCATATAAACACACAATTTGCTTTAATCAATAATCGTATGAAATGACAGTTGTTACACTTTACAGTAAATCCTGTGAAGTATTTTGAGATGACCTCCCAACATGAAAAGTGCTGTATCGAATGCAAGGATTATTTATATTACATCCATTTTTAAGATTTTGCAGAATTTTTGAACTCAGTGATAACTTGAAATCCAGTTTTGTGCAATATACAAAAAGAACTGTAGAAAGCCAGCTTCCAGGTTAAGGCTCAGTTCAGGATAATTTTCCAAGATTCTGCACAATAACTATCATAGGCGATCGAGATGATCCTTCCCATGTCTATGACTGTGAAGTCCTATATATGATGTATTGGTTAGAGCATTCGTCTCACAAGGGAGAGGACCTGGGTTCGATTCCCGGGCGGGGCGAAACCTTAGGCAAGTTTCCTTACTCCACATACTTCTGTTTACCTAGCAGTAAGTAGGAACCTGGATGTTAGTCGATTGACAGATCGCTTTCCGGGGGTAATAATCCCTTCAATTTTTTTTAAATAATAATTTTACTCAATCCACTGTTTGTGGGACACTGCCATATTCTGTGAAGGGCCTTGAGACGTCTCGAAGATGTGATAAGGCACTATATCAAATGCAAGAATTATTATTACCTACAACCTCTCACATTTGGTCACAACCATTCATTCTTTTCTATTTTATCCCCAATACTGTATTCATCCCTATGCTCATAGCCTTCCTAAACTCCAAATTATTATTAGTAATCCATACTTATTATAATAAGCCTTATCCATGTGTAGGTGACATTCACATGTGCAACTCTCAGTCTTGCTGGGATACTCTTAAGCACGGTGATGGGTTTCTGCATGTGTCAGACACCCAGCTGATCAAAAAGACATGGCTAACAAAAAGAGCAAAACAACTTTATTTAGTGCTGAAATGCTACTTTAGGGCAATAGAGCTTTCAATTGGGGATTTCCCTAAATTGGGATGTGATGTTAAACTGTGGCTGCCTTTCCAGGCAGATGTTAAAGATCCTGTGGCACTATTCAAAAAGAAAAGGGAGTTTCTTCCAGTGTCCTGGCCAACAATTCCCCAAATAAGTTGGTCACTCACTCCATGGCTGTTTGTGGGACATTTCTGTGAGTAAATTGGTTGCTGCATTCACTCACAAATACCCACGGTATATCCTATGAAGCGCTTTGAGATGTGATGAGGCGCTAGATCAAATGCAGGGATTACTATTATTATTACTCTACCATTGTTGTCTTGGCCCACTGTGCACTGTTGTCTTTATTGTGTGTGTGCCGACCCTTTCCTCAATCCCCCCCCTCCCCCACACACTACCATCAAGATCTCTGTGCAGTTTTGCCAAAAGCCAGGCAGCTTTGCAGGACGCCCAACTGATTGTTGACCAATCTGTCTCGCTGACTGACGAGACTTGGAAGCAATTGTTCCCAAGCCTGTAAGCTAAAGGGCTGGAGAGGTATCTCACAATTAATATTACCTTAGCTTGCATTTGTGGTGAAAGAGCAAAAAGGATGGCAATGTCCTGCTGTTCAAACAGCTGCATTCAGGTTACTCTGGTTGAGATTTCAGCTCTCTGAGGAAATAAGACATTCAGACCTGCTAATAAAATGATGCACAACAGCATCGCTGGTCCTTCACCAGGCTGCTGGTAGCAAAGTGACAGGAAAGTGATACTGTACCTGTACAGTCTTACCCCACAAGATCACATCACCAGCTTGTCAAACAGCAGAATATCAGAGCCTTTGGTACTGTCAAACGATAAGCCTGAGGTATGTGAACTTGAAGAAATCTTAGCTCAAGTTAAACGAGATTTTAAATTCTTAAGAATTAATATATTTTCTTTTTTTGAAAAATACGAATTAACTTATTAACTTAAAATATTAATTGATAAATATGACCAGATTCAGTGTCGTGCGAGGTCCGAAATCCTCCCATTCTTAGCTTTAAAGACCATCTCCATAAACAATAATAACAAATTGCATTTATATAGTGCCTTTCATGTTGGGAGCTCGTTCCAAGGCGCTGGACAGAGAGGAGTTTGAACCCAAGCTGGGAATTGGAGGCAAGAGGGGTTGAGAGCAAGTGGCTGGAGGTGAGAGGATGATTGAAGGCACAGTCCAAGAGGAAGGTCTTGAAACGGGTCTTGAAAGAGGCAAAGGAGGGGGCGAGTTGAAGGGACTCTGAGATGAAGTTCCGGAACAACAACAACAACAACAAGATTCCATTTATAGAGCGCCTTTCACGTCAGGAGGACGTCCCAAGGCGCTGCACACAACAACAACAACAAGATTCCATTTATAGAGCGCCTTTCACGTCAGGAGGACGTCCCAAGGCGCTGCACAGTTGGGTCATGACCCGAGCAGGGGGGAAATGGTCAGGGTGAGGGGAGGGAAGGGAGGGAGAGAGGAGGGGGAATGGTCAGGGTGAGGGGAGGGAAGGGAGGGAGCGAGGAGGAGGAAGAGAGTCGAGAGGGGAGCTGAAGGCACGGTCAAAGAGAAAGGTTTTGAGACCGGCCTTGAAGGAGGAAAGGGAGGAAGCAAGGCGAAGGCACTGGGGGATGGAGTTCCAGAGCCTGGGGGCTGAGAGGCTGAAGGCCCGACCACCGATAGTAGGGCGGTTGGGGCGGGGGACATGGAGCAGACCGGAGCCAGAGGAACGGAGGGTACGGGTAGGTAGGTAGGGGGATAGTAGGTTGGAGAGGTAGGAGGGAGCAAGGCCGTGAATGGCCTTGTAGGTGAGGATGAGGATCTTGAAATCAATCCTCTGGGGATGGGGAGCCAGTGGAGGCGAGCGAGGGTGGGAGTGATGTGATCGCGAAGCCTGGTGCGGGACAGTACACGAGCTGCAGAGTTCTGAATGACCTGCAGCTTGTGGAGGGAGGTGGCGGGAAGGCCGGCGAGGAGAGAGTTCCCATAGTCCAGCCTTGAGGTGACAAAGGCGTGAACCAGGGTTTCAGCGGCGTGAGGGGTGAGGTAGTGCCGTAATCTGGCGATAATCTGGCGATATTCCGGAGGAAGGTGGATTAGAAAGGCTAAAGGCCTAACTACCGATGTAAGATCATATGGAATTTGGGAAAATCCTTAAATGGAGTCCTTTATTGTTACTTCAATGAGTTGCTTCATTTAACTTTAAAGAATAGCAGCTTATTAACAGTATCACGGTTCCTTAGATCAGTTTTACCTCCTGACAAGATTATGCACCCTTCCTTTCCCTCTCGCTCCACGGGTACTGTGCTAAAAGTTTTATTACTTTCCAGGAGCTATCTGGAGGTTCACAAGTTTGAATCTCTCCTGGTCTGAGCTGGATTAGCTGATCTCAGCCAAAGGAGCAGTTGAGGCACAGCAATTGTCTTCAACGAATCAGCCCAGGCCCCAATATCACTATCCAAAGGCCATGCCTGGATCGTGCATGTGCGTGGATCTAGGCTGTTGTGATTGATCTGTGGTACATGTCAGCCAACCCTGACTGGCTACGCTCACAAGGGAATAATAGCCCTTTTGTGTGGCATCAGATGGTGTTTGGTGCCCATCATATTATACCTCAGTTCATAGGGGAATGAAGGTATACCTTCAGGAGAGGATGGTAGAGGTGGGAGGAGAAAATGGTCACAGAACGGAAAAAATAAAGCGCCAGCTGGGTTTTATTTTTAAAAAACTCACTGAACATTTTGTGAGCTAATAAACAGTTACTTCTTACCAAATGTACATTAAGATTATTATTATAAGAATGTTTTTTCACTGCAGTTGTTTTTTTGGCTTTAAACCGGGCGAAAATGTTCACGAAGCTTAGTGTGGAACCTAAGAAATGCTCTGAACTATATTTAGCTCCTAACCTGTGACTATTCTGACAGGACGCTCATTATTTTCCAGCTCAGTTGGAGGGAACCCAACTTGTTAGGAATGAGTGGTTCTCTGAATGCCAAGTCTCTGAGTGTAACATTCAGGAGATACTGACAGTGATGGTAAAACCCACAGCGTTTTTGGTGAACAGCTGTAAGACTTCAGACTCTGCCTCATGAGCAGATCTCTTTTTTGTCAATTAACCACTCACTTCAACAACAGCAACAAATTGCATTTATATAGTGTCTTTCACGTCAGGAGGACATCCCAAGACACTGGACAATAAAGGCTTTGCAGAGGGGCTCCGGGATGGAGTTCCAGGGCAGAAAGGCAGAAGGCCCGACTGCTGTTAGTGGAGCTGGTAGTATGGTGAAGTTTTAATGGGTCACAGAGGTAAGGTGAGCAAGGCCGTTGAGGGCTTTAAAGATGAGGACAAGGATCTTGAATTCGGTCCTCAGGGGGATGGAGAGCCAGCGACGCCGAGTGAAGGTGGGGTCATCGGCTCACGAAGCTTAGTGTGGAACCTTGTCGGCCCAAATACTTGACAGTAATTATTTCTCATGTTCTCAGCGATATTTTCGGACGAGTCATTAAACTCACCTGCTGTAGGCAGATATTAAAGATCCCATGGCACTATTCAAAAGGAGAAGGGGCTTTTCATGGTGTCCTGGCCAACCATCCCCCAGATCAAATTGGTTATTCATATCATGGTGGCTTGTGGGACATTGCTGTGAGCAAATTGACTGCCACATTCTCCTTCATAGCAAATCCTGTGAAGTGCTTTGAGACGTCCTCCTGACTCAAGAGGCGCTATATTAAATGCAAGGATTATTATTATTTCATTCTAAAAATCAAAGTTCTTTCCTGTCTCTCCAAGAATATTAAAGTGAAGTTCAAACTTTTATATTTTAAGGTAACAAAATCATCAGTCCCGGAGGGGTGTGGAAAGAGGATTATAGGCTTTCACAATCCTGACTCCCTATTCTATTAAGCAAGCGAGGCATTTAATCCCTACCCCCGG